TTAGGAAATATTTTTTATTTATTTATGTATGTATAGATTTGTTTTCTTACAACTTAAAAGAATATAAAAATTTATTTTTATAAATTTTTATGTTTTGAGAATTAAAATTTAGCATTTAGGCAATACCTAATTTCTGATTTAAAATTGATAGAATGTTAAAACTTTTAATGTATTTAGAAATATTAAATTCATTCAAATTTTGTTTTGTTTAACCTTTAAGATCAAAGCTCTAAAAAATTTTTTTTCATATTCAATAAAGATTTTTTTACAGAAAGAAGTCTAATTCTGAAAAATATAATTGAAAATTAAATTTTATTTATTTTATTTTCTTACAAGCAACATGATTATATTAAAATTTATTTGTTGTACAATATTTAAAAAGTCTGATAGTACAGTGATGGAAATAATTTATTAAACAAATGCGAGAAATAAATCGCATTTTTTACTACAAAAAAGTTACACTTTATTAAAAGTTGTCAAAAAATTACATCATACAAATTATAATAAATAATCTGTTACAATGAAATGTATGTCGTTCTTAAAAATATAATAAGCAAGGCACAATTTTAGGCAAATCCTTTTGATTTATAATTTTAAATTAATCAGTGCTTTCGTCAACAAAATAAGCATGACTATATTCGTCGAATGTTATTTCTTTATATATTTTAACCTTAAAGGAAATATTATTATCTATTCTAATAATTTTGACAATTTGTCCAAATTCCTTCTCAATATTTTGTAAATTAATTACAACAAAAGTTCCAATTTTGTACGAAACATTACAAATATTTATTTCTTTATAACATTCTTCAAATGAGTCATTTAAGCGAGAACCTAAAACAATCGATGTTTTACAATCGAAGGTCTGAAGCATCGAGCGAAATTGTAACATTTGTTTCGTTGCAATTGTAATCAATAAATTTTGCTAACAATTTGTTGACTGTGCATTTAATTTTATATCCCTATGACGAGATTCAAACCTCACACACCAAAAATTAATGAATGGACCATTCTCTAATAAAATCCTAGGATAATGAATTAAATTATGAAACTTTGGCTTTAGGGGACCAAATAATTTACATACAATTCATTGTGTTTTTTTACTAATATTTTTAAGTACTTGGCATCGGACGAAATTACACGCGGTGAACAAAGTATATCTATAATTTGTCTTAGATATGTATATAATTTCCAGCATTTATCATTCTCGTCAGTAATTAAATCTCCAGCAATAAGACCATAGAATCTAACTAAGGACAACATTTCCGATGCTGACATTTTCAACCGATTTTTACTACTCAATCTTATTAAGAAATTTCTGGTGGTCTATTTGAATTATCTTTAAAAGGAAAATTTTTTATTCTACAGTTCAATTTTTCTAAAGTGAGATACTTTTTTTTTAAAACAAATTTAAATAATATAAATGTCAATACATACACGTAAACGCCTTCTAACACATCGAGCATTAAATTCATGCTTAAATTTTCTGCAATATGAAAATTTAATATTTCAGGAAACGCGCATGACTCCTTAATACCATTGGTCAATAAATTTGTTTCTTCTTCGTATTTTTGTTTGTTTCTTAAGGTGGAAGGGTCAAAATCACAAAGTGTACGGAATCGTGTAAAACTTTCAGCAAAATTGAATAACATATTAATGCACATTATTGTTAAATATGAGCAATTTTTATCGTACGGTTTTCAAGATATTGTCGTCCGAAATTCACTATTTTTCTTATTACTTAGCATTGTGCTTATGGCCGCTGCGAACGAAAAACTGACAACTCGATATATATTACTTCATAACTTTTTATGCTCAATAAGGATTCATCTCAAAATTAAAGCAAAATTAATTTGAAATTCAAGGATCATAATGCTTCAAGTATTGTACAATTTACTGTTTAGTTACCGAGTATTTTTAATCCAAAAATTAAAGTTGGATGTAATTTTTTCTATGACACGAGAGACACAGAGAACGTGGCAACAGCGCAACTTTTGTGAGGGAGAAATTGAATGGCGGGAAGATTTAAATATATCCAAGTATTTAGAACATATTGCTTTACTTATCTTTTTTTCAAGAAAGTTAATGAATAAATTCTTGTAACTCATAATTATTTATTCTTGAAACAATTCATTATATTTTATTTTGATTTAAAATAAGTTACGTAGAAATTAGCTGTGTGCTGTGTGCATCAGCTGTTCTGCAGTGACTGCAGTGTTGCCACGTCTCGCACGGCGAAACACTACATTGTTCAAAATATTACTATTTTTTTTTTTAATTTTAATTTTTTACAAATTTGTACGTTCTAACATAAAAAAATTATTTGAAAATATGATTTTTTATTTTACATAATAGAATTTACTTTTTTTTTCAACTTTTAGAAAAAAAAAGTTTGCTTTCGACTTACTGCGTGGGCCCTTCCACCTTAAGAACGATTCTTTTTCTTCTGCTAAAGATGCAATAATATCTGAAGACGCTTCACAAATGCGACACCAATTTGATCCATAAAAAGATTCAGTAAATCCAAAAATCCTATTTTGACCTAAATTATCTCCAATAATTAACATTAATTGAAAATGAATGTGCCACCTAACACCATCTACAGTAATATAAATTCCTTCTATTTGCAAGAAATTAATTTTTTAAACCATTCTCCATTACTACGTTTCACTTTATCTTTAACAAATATAATATTTGCAAAAATGATGCTCTCAAGTCGTGAGACAATATGATTAGGATGACATACTATGGGCAAATCCACAGAACTGGCCGATTTTTACTTATCAAGATGAAAATTTTCCAAATAGCAAGCACACCTTTTATTTATGGTTTACTTTCTTTAAAATATATTCAAGAACAATTATCTTCTTGCGTGATACATTTTATTTTAATGCCGTTTGAGTTAAAAGCCAAAAACGAAAATATTATTTTTCTTCTGGAAATTATAATTAAAAATGGCATTTCTTTGTTTTTTTATATATTATTTGAAATATGTGCAAAACATTTTGAATAATAAAATATGATAAAATACAAATAATTAATTTTTTAATTATCAAAGATAAATTATTTATATTTTATCATATTTTATTATATATTTTATTTATTAGCATTTAATTTTTTATTTCTGTAAATTAAATTGTTTACTTACTAATTTTGATATTAACTATTTTAACCAACAAACTGACATTATTGACATCGATTTTGATATAACTTTGAAAATAAAACAAATTAAAGGATAATTCATTTTTCACGATTAACTAGTTAAATTTCGATAAATTTTTTTTATTTTTAATTTTTAGACGTTATAAATTGAAAATATAATTTGTCGTTTGCATACAAGAATTATAATAATGTCTTTATATAATCACACATGTTTTCAACTCATCATATTTTATCCTGCAGTTGTGCTACTGAAAAAAGGCTATGTTGAAAATGGTTCACGCTTAAACATAGAGTGATAATTATTGGAATATTTTCTTTAATTCTGATTGCACTCTATTCTATGATACATACATTTGTTCGTCTGTTCACAAGCAATAAGCTCCAATTTGAAAAATTCAAATCGAATAATCGCCGCAAAAGATATTTACAAAAATTTATAGACATTTCATTATTATAAAATAATGAGTAACGCTACTTTCAACGACTATCATTTCTTTTTATTTAAGAGCACATATTTTTTATTACTTTCAAAACATTCTTCAATAAGTAAACTATAATTCACCAAAGTTTAGAATTGTTCGGATCTATGCCGAACAAGTTATACCTATAAGAATTAAAATTTATACCTGGAGTAACACCGTAAATTTCATTTTTTAAGTTACTTAATTCGATTTTATTTTTTATAAAAGACTAGAAGGTTCACATTTATTCAATTTTCTTATTTCAATAGGTTCTCAGAGATATTACAAAATGGTTGAAGTATGAAAATAATTAATATAATACTTCCAAAATATAAAAATATGTGAGTAACATGAAATCGGCCGGTTCTGTGGATTTGCCTATATGTGCATACACTATTCCGAATTTATTTTTACCAGCATGGATTCCTAAAGCATTACCAACTTCCAAATCGTCGTAGAAAATATTGAAGGGTAAAACTAATTTACCTTCTTCATTTTTCGAATATTTTCTTTGCCAAAGTTTTTCCTGCATGATGTTTGTAATTATAATTTTTTATTTTTTTAATTTTTCAATGTGCTGCAATATTTCGTTAAACATTCCTGGAATTTCTACAAAAATTTGAAACTTTTCCTTAAATGTACATTTAAAGCATGAAGTATTTCTGGAATTAATCTCAGGTCGTTATTTATATATTTTATGATAAAAGAAGAACCTATTGAGAATAATTCATAATCAATGAAACCTTTCGGCCTTAGTAATCCAAATCTTAAGTGTTTCGTTCTAACTTTATTAAAAACATCACCATGATCATTAAAGCACTTCTCTATTTCATTCTGCAAACAGCAGGGAATATCGTGTTTTGAAAGTGTTTGTAAAATGTCTTTTTTTAAAGATGGTAAATAAATGGTGTTATTAAAGTCAATGATAAAATTGACAACTTCTTGCACAATTTTTCAGGGATAATTTGGATCGCCGTATAAAAATGAAAAAAACTTAAGTATATGGTCAAGAATTGATTTAACATCCATTTTATTTTTCAAAATAACTTTATGTTTTTCTAACAAATACACAATTTGTATAGTAAAAAGTAATATATCTATACAATAATACTTAAAATATCAATTTCAAAGAAAGATAAATATTCAAACTTTTTAAAAGTTTTCAAATTACATTGGAATTTCTGTTTCGAGTAACAAAGGTTCAATTAAAACTTCGCTTCTATTTATTTCCACGTTACGAACTGTTTTAGATTTATTTTCAATTTCTATTTTATTTAATTCAACAATAAATTTAGTTACTGCTTCATAAGACTTCTGAGATTGTAATCCATAAATGTACTTTCCTATAAAATACCATAAGTGGTCACATAAATATGGAAATGATCTAAGTGCTGTTAAACATTTGAAGCACGTCTCTAAAGCCTTAATTGGATCAGAAATGAAATAATTATCCCCATTTAAGACAACAATTGAAATGGATATGTTGTTCAATTTTCCGCATAGAATTACTTACGGATAAATTACTTGGTAATTATTTTTTAACCATTCCTCCTGATTTTTTTCTCCACAGTTAAGTTCCCTGGATCCTAAAATTTTACAATTTACAATTTGTAAATAAATATTCAGAAGAACAAACTTTTGATATACATATGTCATAATTTACATTTACAACTACAAATAAAAAATTTAATAACATTTTCTTCGTAATAACTATTTTTTAAAATAAATTTATAACTTTAAATTTGTACTATTTTTTACCTGAACGTGAATATGAAAGATTTAAAAATCTTGTTCTTACTAAATTATTTAGTAACTTTATTTCCAGTTTTAGAAGTCTTCGATACGGTTAAATAAAGGGAAAGTAAAAACAGTGAAAAAATCTTGTCATAGGTTTCTGAAAAAAAATTTATTTGATAAGTAAATATTCAAACAATTTTTTAAAATAAAAGAAAAATTTCTTTCCCAAGAACTATAAAAAATTATTGAAAATAAATTTTTAAAAAATCTTGTACATAACCATTACTGTGTAATTATTAAGTTAGTAGTCCATTCACGAAATACATCTACCGATTGGAGTGATTGATTTTCATCAGTTAAAGAATTAAAACTTTTATCTAAATAAAAAAAAAATATTAGAACTTTTTATTAAAATTATTATAAACAAATGTATACCTTCTATGCTCAAATTATCCTTTTTCTAATTAGATTGTAATTTCAAAATACCAGTTAAACGTAATTTTTGCCATAAAAACTTATAATAATTATATAAACAGCCACGAGTACTTCTACTTTCTGTACCGTCAGGTTTGAAAGGAACGAAAAACATTTCTTTGTCCTCTGTTGGGAACAGTTCAACAATTTGATCGGTCATTTTTAAAAATTGATCGGATGCTATTCTGCATTTGTAAAAAAATTTGATGTTACATTCAAAAGTATAAAAAAATTAAAAATAAAAATTCGCAAAATTATGAAACTTACTTATAATCTATTGGATCAAGCTTTAATTGTCTGACAATAAGTAATTCCTTCAACCGACTGTGGTCAAGTAATTTTGTTTTAGCATATTGTGATAAAATAATCTTGCCGAAAAAGTTTTCTGGATCATTTAAAAAATGATACAACTCATTTTGTAAATAAGTAAAGTCTGAAAATTTTTTTTATAATCACAATTGTATTAATATCCTATTTTTTAGTTAACAAAATTTAGGCAAAAGCTATTTCAGTTGACAATTTAATTTAAATCTATCTATTTTAAAAAGAAGTGTAAGATTAATTATTGTTTAATATTTTTTTTTTCTCGAAGTAGTTTTTAGTAATTGAATATTAATTATTATTGTATTTCAATTAATATATATTAATATATAAATTGTAGAAATTTTTATTATACTTTCATTTTATAAATATCTATTTTATTTATAACATTACATTTTTTATTTTTTAAATTAACCGTTTTCATTTAATTTAAAATAAAAATTTTGAAAATATAATTATAGTTACTTTCAGTCAACGTAAATTTATATTTTCTCTCGATATTGACATTTCAATTTCACTAATACTGCTGTTTTTATTTAGTGTTGCAGACATTTCAATGTCATTCTCATCGGGACAAATATTTCCTTCACTAATTTTTTTTTGAACAATAAATTCTAAATAAAAAAAGAATAATTAAATAAGAAATTACACACATTCGTAAGAAAATTTAATTTAATTGCATAAAAATAACAATTATAATTAGAAATTTTTGTATTTATTAAAATTGTTATGTGGATATATTCAAAAAAAAATTTTATATTTTATTTTTAACTTTACGATTATGTACAAGATGTAAAAAAATAAAATTAGTAACATTAATAATATAAATATATAAATATAGTTTCATTACTTACTAAATTCTGCAATATGCAAAAATAGATTTTCTAAAAATGAAACAACAATAAAATATTACGTCTAACCACATTCACTGACAAACATATTTTATTTCGTATACTTCTCCCGCCCTGGTTGAAAGGTGTGCTGTCGCGCGAGTTCAATAAGCCCGATGCTTCTCGCTGTGGGTTACCTGCGATCCCACAACGAGAACTCAGCCGATCCAATGAAGAGGTCAGCAGCTACACTTCATTTAGGACTCGCCGGAACAGCATGTCACCCAAATTTTTTTCAGTGATATTAGCCAATTGTTTATTAACAATTTATTAAGCCAAAGTACTTCATATAGGGCTCGTTGGATGCGGAATTATGTCTACTTTCATTAAGTAACGTCAGAATTACGCAACGCAACAATTTATTAACATCATATGGAGATGTCCTTTTTTGTTATTTTCGAGATATTAATTAATTAATGTCAATAAAAATTTATATATTTTATAAACGCATATGGTTGAAAGGTGTGCTGTCGCGCGAGTTCAATAAGCCCGATGCCTTCTCGCTGTGGGTTACCTGCGATCCTACAACGAGAACTCAGCCGATCCAATGAAGAAATGAAAAAAATGCGTTTATAAAATATATAAATTTTTATTGACATTAATTAATTAATTAACTAATATCTCGAAAATAACAAAAAAGGACATCTCCATATGATGTTAATAAATTGTTAATAAGCAATTGGCTAATATGGCAATTGTTTATAAAAAATCCTCTAATCTAAAATAGTCCACATAGGGCTCGTTGAATGCGGAATTACGTCAGCTTTCAATTGGTACGTTCAAGATTGCAATAACTTTATTTATTTGTGAAATATCTCGGAAATATCTCATTTTTGTTAACATTAATTAATTAATTACTATATTTCGAAAATAACAAATAAGGACATCTCAATATTTTTTGTGGTGAAAAAACACATTTTTAGCTTTCAAAAAAAAAAATAAAAAGGACCGAACTTAAAAAAAATCGAAAAAATGTTTAATTTTCAAAAAAAGGATCAAAATTTCAATTTTTTAAAAAAAGTTTTGCACCATTCGAAAGAGCAGGAAAAAACCTTTAGAAATCATACAGAACAATTTTTTTTCTTCTTTCTGTTTAAAAGTTACAAGTCTTCAAAAATTCACTGTTTACATTTTTCAAAAAAATTCAACCCCCTCCCACTCCGACAGTTTTTGAAAAAACCTAACAATATTTCGTGGTTAAATTACTTACTCCTAGGGCTAAACTATGTGCAAGTTACAGCCCGATCCGATCATCTTTTTCTTCACTTAGTTCGCTACAGGAATTTTACTCCAATAATATAATAATATAATTATATATATAATATAATATATATAATACATGTTTGAACATAATAATAATAAATTCACATTATCGTGCATAAGTTACATATGATAATATCTAGAGTTCCTCAAGGGGGAGTTGACGCAAGTCGAGCTGAACTGTAATTGGTAGAGGGTAACCGGAATCGGAAGTTAATCAAATTTAATTGGTTCGAAAAATGAGCGCGGTTGTATGAAATAGTTTTTATTAAAGGTATTTTAAAAAATCCTGCTCAATTTGACCAATAGTATATCATATTTTTTCATCACTTCCGATTCCGGTTACCCGCAAAAGTAGTAAAAGGGGAAACATGCATCAACTCTCCTTTGAGGATCTCTAATAATCTCTACACACTACTTTCTGGCAAAACGAACCTCTCTCATGGGGAGATTCCGCTAAGGACGGTAGTTAATACATGAACCGCGACCTGAGATTTTTATTATATTTTTTTAATTATATTTTATTATATTTTTTATTTATTTTTTATTATTGTTTTATTTATTATTAATTATTTATTATATTTTTGTAATAATAATAATAATAATAATTTATTTCGTTGTATGTCCTTTTCAAGGACCTTTACAATTTCCTTTTCACTACATATTTGAACTTTTTTTATTTTTATTATAATATTTTATTATACCTATAGAAAATAATACCAAAAAGTAAATTAAACAAGTTGTAAATTCAGATGTTCATTTCATGAACATTTTGCTTCCTCTTTACGATCAGCAAAAAAATTTGCTTCCTCGTGGAGAAAGCAAAATTTTATTGCCAAAATGTGAATTTTTGATTTTTTAACTTTCATTAATTCTTTAAATTTACCTCAAATATATACTTTATATATATCGATCGGTTCGTCTTGACGTAAGGAATACGATTTTATTATATATAACCTTAAATTTTTCTATTTAAAAATTTTTTCGATTAAAAAAAAATTTTTTGAAAAAAGACGATAAAATTTTTTTTTTGGGTATTTTTCAAAATCCTTTGGTCAGATTTGAGATACTAATATGATAAATGAGCCTACCAAATTTTATCTAAATCCATTAAAACCTGTTAAAGTTATCTTCTAAACAAAAAAGGGATCCACACACACACATACATACATCCGGACAATTGATCAGGATCTCATATAACATGTTTCTATAAAGAAAAAAATTTGTTTCCACCACTCTGAAAAGTTTTATAAACGAAAGGACTACAAAGCTTCCTCCACGAGGAAGCAAAATGTTTAAAAAAATATAAAAAATTAATTTAATTAGTTAAAAATTATGGTATATTGAAAAATAACGGCAATTAATACTAGAAATTAAAATGATAAGTAAAGTAAGTATATAATAAGATATATAAATATTATTATTAAATTAACAAATGTTTAATACATTTAAAAAATTTTATTCATCTTTTCAATAATTATTTTCATATTTTGAATAAATTTCATAAAATATAACAATAATAACATTGATTAATTAACAAATATAATATAATATAATATAATATAATATAATATAATATTATATTATATTATATTATATTATATTATATTATATTATATTATATTATATTATATTATATTATATTATATTATATTATATTATATTCTATTATATTATATTATATTATATTATATTATATTATATTATATTATATTATATTATATTATATTATATTATATTATATTATATTATATTATATTATATTATATTATATTATATTATATTATATTATATTATATTATATTATATTATATTATATTTAAGGACATTTTTTCACCTAGCAATCAATTAGTCGAATGTAGTATCAATATAAAATGTCATATAAAACATCATTATACTACTGTTTTATTAACAGAAAATAATTTAATGATTAAAACAAAATAATCAGCGCGCGAAAGTCTAGTATATTGAAGGCAGTGTCCAAGAAACATTTCCGAAATTAAATACATATGGGCAAATCCACAGAACCGGCCGATTTCATGTTACTCACATATTTTTATATTTTAGAAGTATTATATTAATTATTTTCATACTTCAACCATTTTGTAATATCTCTGAGAACCTATTGAAATAAGAAAATTGAATAAATGTGAACCTTCTAGTCTTTTATAAAAAATAAAATCGAATTAAGTAACTTAAAAAATGAAATTTACGGTGTTATGTGACGGGTTTTTATAATCTTGAATTTAATTAATAAATATTATCAAATGATAAATTATCCGTAGATAATTTATTATTTATTTATTAATTAATTACAAGAAATAAGTAAATTATAATAAATTATTCGTAAACAAAGTATTATTCTTTATTTATTAAAATGAGCGTAATAATGCCACGTTCTAAGTCCGTAGATTTAGATACGTGTCTCTTTACAAAGTCTAAGATTAACACTAGTGGTTCTGGGCCTTGACAGAAGTAAGGTCCCTTAGGATGTATTTAGGGTGCGTGGGAGGGATGGTTCAGAGGATGGTGAGTGGGGGAAGAAAAGGTAGAATTGACGTGGATTTCGTTACACCCCCCAACTTAGATTGACCTTAGTCCCTAAGGTCGAAACCTTATAGATAGAGGTTTGATTTTTAGATGTTCATCTAGTGGTGTTGGTGCCGTAGGGGCACTTGTATACTGTACATTTGGTATATTGTTTACATTTGTTTTGACGCAGAATAAATTAATACATAGGTTCGTAGGAAGTAATTTAGCAAATAGTTTACAAACTCCCGATTTATAAAGTAAGTAAATTGTTAAAATGACTAATGATGTATATCCTAAATATTGTAATATATCTGTGCTTTTTTCCACCCATGTTTTGGTTCTACGAATATTTTTTATACTTTGAATCGAAGCTTCCATAGTGTCTATACTACGTTTTAGAGAATTAAATTTTTCTCTATGTAATGATTCTTGTATTACGGGTAGTTGAGAGCTTAATAAATTTAAGTCGCTTTGACTAATTGCAAAAGAGATATTTTTTTTGAACTTGATATCGGAGTTATGTTCGATTGATTTACGTAATTTTAATATTGATTTTGGAGTGTGTAATATACAATCGGAATTACTGTGAATTAGACTAGGTTCCTTAATGGTTGTAATTTCATTTTTGTTGTTACAAACAACGTTCAATTCTATTTCATTTTCTGGTATTACAATAAATTGGTTTGGATCTTGAAGAGGTATAAATGCTAGTTCTGCTATTTTAAAAACAGAAAATTCACAGTATTTATCGGAAATGGATTTGTATCTATGTTTAACAATACTAGTTTCACAGTTTTCTACTTCGCTGATAAGAAAAGTTGGTTGTACCCTTTTACAAATAAAAGTGTCTTCTAATATTTTACAATTTCGCATTGTCTGTGTGTCAGAAGGGACATAAAAAGTTTTTTCTGGATTAATGAGTAGGATTTCGTGTGATGGGATTGGTGCAATGAATCCTGTTCCATGACGAATAGGTATTGGAATTAAGTGTAAAGTTTGGAGGACTGGTTCTTCTAATTCTGGTACTTTAAGAATGTATATTAATTGTTTGTGTGTAATGCTTACAGTTATGTCGGATATGTCAATAATATGTTGATAATTTTGCGGTATCAATTTAATTGGATATTTGGTGTTAGTTTCTTCTTCGATGAGTTGTAATTCTCGAATTAACATATTTGATGTAAGAATTTGAGGATGTACAATACCATGTTTCCCATCGTTTATAGCATTTATTATTAAATTAATGTCTTCGCTGTATTCACTGATTGCTATTGTACAGACAGTAAGCATATTG